CAAAATATCGAGGGTTGCATAAGTGGCTAAGTGAGGTCGATGAGGGTAGGGGTTGGAGGGTTAGGAGGGGCTTCATGTGAAATATTTGATCTTTTATGATCAGTGATTTAGTCAAATTGGTTTTCAGTCGTAGTTGATACGAGTACCCACCTACACCTATATACCAGCTCCAAAATGTTATTACATTAGGATGATGCAAATTGAAAGCGGAAAGTGATTAAAAAAAATTATACCGAAGGGATAAATTACTTTTTTGGAGTTGTAATTGGGAAAGAGAATTTTTATGTTGTAAATTATAATTTAGATTGTTTCTTGGACGAATTATCAAGTTTGTCTCATGTTGACGTTTGGAGCTTGTTTGTCAGTAGACCTTGTAGTAGGCTTGTTTGTATTCACTTCTCCATTACTATTTAATTTTTATTTAGTTTGCAGTAGCTTTTTTCTTTGGTAAAAATGCAATTTCCTCGTCAGTAGAGTCCTTGTTTTTAATTTCATACTGATATTTAGTTTGCACATCAACTGAGATTTTTTTAAGTTTTGCTTTTGATTTTCTTGGTTATTATTTAATTTGTTTCTCAGTGAAATCTTCTGTTTTGTTTCCTATTGACTTAAAATTTGCTTGTCAGTAGAGTTCTTTTAGCTTATTGGTGAACATTTATTTTGCTAGTCAATCGAATCCTCACTTTTTTGCTCGCCAGTAGAGTTCTTTATTACCTTATAGAATTTCAATAAGGGAATTCAATTTGCTTGTCAGTATTATATTAGTAGATTTTCTTATCAAGAAAATAGACAGTGGAGTCCTGTTTAGTTAGCTGTGCTTGATTGATATTTATTTGCTTGTGAGAAGAGTCCCTTTTATATGTAGGTTGCTATTCTATTCGGTAATCAGTAGAGTCCTTTTCACGGTTTGCACATCGAGTAAAGTCGATTTCTTATTTGTTTGTTATTAAATTTTTCTTGCCACGACGATTTTAATCTTGCTCCTAAGTAGACTCTTAATTTTCTTCCAGGTTGCTATTTAATTTTGCCTAGTAATTAAAAATTTTATTTTCTATTTTTCTCGGTAAATGTGAAATTTTCTCGTCTATAAAATTCTCAATTTCGTTTTTTTTTCAATTTTTAATTTGCTCATGAGGACAATTATTTTTATTTTCTCATTTGAAGAATTTGTAAGTAGAGTTAATAAAAAGTGTATTTAATTTGAAAAATTGAATTAAAATTATAATATAAATGATGTATATCCTGAATGATTTTTTAAGTTTAAGTATTATATTTTTTGCGATTTTTAAATGGTTTGTGCGTTTTATCCGCTGAAGAAGGTTCAAACTATGATTCGAAACGTGTGGAAATGGATTGAAAATATATCACATAGGGTAAATTATAGTAATGGACGCATGAATCAACCGATTTGAATGATTCAAAAAATACATTCGATTCAATTTTTGAGAGAACAGAGCACCCGATTTGAATGATTCAAAAAACATGCCATTTGTATTGACGAAATGAAGAATCCATGAAATTTTTGGTAAGGCAGATTTCGGAGATAAAGTAAAAAAAAAAAGATATTTGGCTGTCAAAAATGATCATTAGACATATGCACATCAAATTATCAGATATGTGATGAAATTTTTAGAAATGAGTTCTAATTTTATTGGGTTCCGTACCAAGATTGTTAATTTTTAAAGTTTATTTATACGGTTCAAGCAAATTTCAAAATTTTCAGATATTTTTATTTTAAAATTTTCAAAAATATACAAAGTTTTATACTTCAAATATGAATTTTAAATTTACAATTTAGTTCGAAAATATATATACTTCAAACGCGTTATTCTAATCGTAAGAAGTATCCTCAGATGGATTCATTCGGCACCTCTTGTTAACGCAAACTTTCTCAAGAGCTTTGAACGAAAAGATCGTCAAGATAATATATGTAATAGTTATATCATTATCTAATTGAAAATATTTAAAACGATTGTTATTAATCATGGATCAGATATTTATTGATTACTGATTGTTTTCTCGGATATTTAATTCTGGTACGGAAAGTTCCAGCAATTTGCCTTGAGGCACGATGCCATACACTACTAGTTCTAACTTTTGTTTCATGAAAGTTAAGGTGAATACAAATCCTCCGTTTTGCGTTTGGCTTTGACGTTGAGTTCTAGGACACCCTGCATAATGTAAGCATATAAAATGTGTATGTATGTGCATGTACTGCTGAGCTGTGTGTGTATGTTGGTGTGCGTATGCAAAAATGTTGCCAATTCCGGCATAACATATTTACAACGACGACGCCATAAAGCTTTACATCACTTCCCCAAACGAAATAAAGACACTTGACTTTTCCTTTACCCTCCAACCCCTCATCGTTGCACACACGCCCCCTGCCTCCTGCCTTTCCTTCTTTTCTATCTTTTCCTCCTGCTCCTCCACCACTTACAAGATACAAAATATAATGCAATAAGCGCTTTTATGAATGTTTAAAGACCTTTGGTCTCTCGGTCTCTCCAGTCTCTCGGCCTGGGCGGTTTTTCAAATGCAAAATGTGTGTTCTTCGTTCGCCATGAAACTACCCCTGCTCCTACCCCCGGTCGACGGTCGTAAAAAAAACTCCGCCTTTGCCGCCTCTGCCGCCTCTGCCGCCTTGCCTCCTGCTGCCGTAGGCGGAGTGGCGGCGGAATAAATAGTATCAGGAGGGGCTGCCGGATCGAGGTTAGGTAGGGTCGACACATGAAGGAATTGATCGCGATGATATATCGATAGTCGAGTGGTTTAGTTTAATTGGAAAATATTTGTTTAGATATTTTTATCGAATACAATCCAGATGTTGGATTCTTATTGAAAACTTTATTTTTTAGACTTATTTAATACTAGATGGCTCGACAAACGTTGTTTTGCTAAGTAAGGTATATTCTAAACAATTTCTAGAGAATCAAAAATATTAAAACTTTAAGTGTATAAGGATGTGTTGTTTGAATGCTATAAACGCCATTAGTTTGTCTATATTTTGTCAATACAATCAAACGTTTCATACACTTTCTATAGGAAAACATTTGGTATAATCCAATCCAAGTATTTTTTTGTCTTTCGACTTATTGGTTACATTTCAAGTTTTTCATATTCTTTTCGGATTCTGGATTTTGTGTATAATTCTAAATAATACAACTGAGCTTATACAAAATTTTCAAATTTTTGCGAGGAGAGATAGAAAATGAATTAAGTATTTTAAGTATTACTATCTATTCTTCGATAAATTCTGGAAAATTATAACTGGGAAAATGTTATTCGACAAAATGTCCTTTTGATTGATACCAAATTTAGGTTCTGAATTAAAATAAATAAAAAATAATATAACCTAGAAAATGTTTTATAAATACCAACACAATGAGTATATAATTATACAAATGAGTTCGAGAAAAATATGCCAAAAAGTGCATTTTCATATTAACATCTCAAAAATGTTGATATTTTGAGTTTATAGTAACACTTGAGGCCCGTTTAATAACGTTTTTGTGTACAAATAAAACTATAAACAAAACTACTTGCTACAATTTAATCATTATTAAATAATCATTATTAAATAATATTCACGTAAGCCATGCTATCAAACGTAATTGAACATCATCTGTCACAAACATTTGACATTTGACCTATTAGCCACCGTCCATTGTTTTATTTAAATTACGCTTCTACAAAAATGTTCAAATTAAAAATGTAAAGTTTCTACGCGATTTTGAAATAATATCTCACCTTTCCGACAACCTACTGATCAGCACGAATTTTTCAAGACTAAGACTGGACAAATCGGTTTAGCCGTTTTCGAGTTTTACCGAATCATTTGATCAAGAGCTCCATTTTTATATATAAGATAATGCCGCAGCTAAAATTATTATCAAATAGTAACTTTTCATTATGAATTTAGTTCTCAATTTCTTATTTTCTACATATTTGCTTTTTATTTTTTTGGTTTTTACTTTTGGATTTTTTCTTTTTTTGAAGTTGTACTTCTAGTTCGACTTGCACAATATTGCTTCAAATGTTTTTCTATTATCTAATGTGTGCCTAGTAATATTACGACATCAAAGTATTGTCTATGTCATAAGGCGCAGAATAAGTGTTCAAACATAGAAGGATATGTGACATCACATGTGTGAGCAAACATTGCCGACGACAATCGCGGTCTCTCCCGATTAATTAAATGTCATATGTCATATGTATAATTTCAAAAATATAATGGCAATTGTGATGGCTGATAATTTTGTAAGAAATGATATTGATAATAATATTTTCCCTGTGAAATAAATGTACATAAAATCGAATGCACCTGTTGAGATCGGTTTATATATTATAAGGTCTAAGTTAGGCACGTATCGTATGACATGTGACTTGAAAAAAATTCTAAATTGTCTGAATATGTTCTGAGTAATCTGATAATAATTTATTGATTTTACCCACTACTAATTAGATTCCCTGAGGAACGCCAAGAGCTATGTGTATCTCTGTGTAGTTCCTTAAAATGGTATAAAATAATCTACAAAATAATTACATTTTTATTCCACCATCTTTTATTTTGAATAATAAAATTTCCAGTTGAAGCAAAACAAAAAAAGTGGAGTTTAGAGTTGGAGTGTAGTTTCCGAACATAGATGTAACTCTTACATAGAATTACATAGATGTAACACTATGAGGAGTAGCATCGATCAATTTTGTGACACGATCAGTCGAGCCATTTCTTTGGAATTATTAGCAAAGAACGAAAGTTCTTATTGATAATTTATTTTTAGTCACATATTTTTGTTACTTTTAATTAAAAACCAGACAGTTTGAAAGTTTGACAATTTAAAAATGAGGGAGGTTTCCAAAAATAGTGTAGGTTTTTAAAAAATAGAGATTTTAAAGAATATTGGACTTTTTTTACAAGAAGAAATATTTAGAAAAACAAGGCGAATTAAAAAAAGTGATAAAATTCTCCTATAAAGAGGGCTGAATACAAAAATTGGTTAATGTTTGAGGACAAGATCATCTTTTATTTTATATGAAATAGGATTACAAAATAATATTCTCAATAATACACACCTAGTAAAAAATGTGGCAATATAATATTTATCTTTCCATGGGAACCCGACCTTCCGAAGAAAGGCTTGCGCGTGCAAAAAATATGAAATAAATATGCGAATTCGATTTTAGCCATATCAAAGAGACTTTCTATACACATATATATGGTCTCTTGTACTTCTACTGCGTTATGATATGATATTTACCCCTTTTCGCCCTTTGAGTGCAATATAGAGTTATCGACGGATCGAGTTCGGACTTTGGAGTTTGAAGTTTTGCACTCTTTCTTGTTTTGTTTCAATTTTGTGTTATTTCAAACGGAAATTTTATTATAAAGTTACTGCGCGCGTATTCAAAAGATGGTGGAATAAAAATGTAATTGAATTGTAGATTATTTTATACCATAAGGAACTCAAATTTTTTGTTGATAATTTTGTACAGGGATAAACATAGCTCCTGGTGTTCCTCAGGGAACTTAATTAAGACCTTATGCTACAAAAATACAAAATAAACTTTTCCTATCGACATATTCGATCCCCAACCCCGCGATATAATAAAACGGAAACAAATATCGAACAATCCATCCATCCATCATATTCGAATAACGTTTCGACATACGAGTGTATTATTCGAGGCCTCGGGGCGAAATGAAATCTTTCCATCATCTTTCAATTCCGAATGTCATCAGAATCGTCAAATGCGATTCGGCGGATCGGCAAATCTATTTGGAGGAAACACAAACATCGGCGACGAATTGAAATTGTAAACTTTTATCGAGGAACAAGGGGTAATAATAGGAGAAAACTGGAAAATATTGGTGTAAAAATACGAGAACTTTCCACCAGGAATATTCAGTTTACTGCTTCGAATATAGATAATTATTTCCATATCTATTTATTTATATCTTCGTTAACTATTCAATTTTCTAAAGAAAGTTGAAAAGTACAATTTTTATATATATACTTATCCTTTCCCAGATGAAATTGATGGTGCCCCAGTCCAATCCATAGACTTTCTCATCAAATTTGCCTCCGGATCGGTGACCCAACGTGCAGGCAAAAAGGCTGCAAAGTCTTCCAAGGAAAAGACTCCAATGGTCTTGAGAAGGCCAGTGATTTGCATCTGTAATGACATATATGTACCTGCACTTAGGGCCTTGAGGCAATGCGCTTTTGTGGTCACTTTTCCGCCGACGGAAAATTCACGACTTGCAGAAAGGTAAAGGAAGTAAGATACATCTTACTAGAATATTTTATTTTATTTTTGAAATAAAGTGGTAAAGGATAGATTTGATTACAATGTCTTGGATGCATCTTTGATTTAATCAATGATGCTTACATTTTGCATTGATAGCTCTGTTTTTTCTACAGGTTGCTGGAAATTTCGAAAGCCCAAAATTTAAAAACAGATCTCGGTGCCTTGCTGGTCTTGGCCGATAAAACAAATTGTGACGTCAGATCTTGTTTATCAGCACTTCAATTCTTCAGGTATTAAATTATGACCCATAGAATTATTATATGAACGATTTTCTACTTCTTAGTTGTTTTAAATTATTTTTTTTTTTATATTTTTTTAGTGGTCGTAAGAAGCAACTTCGCATAATGGATGTCTACAAGAGCAACATTGGACAAAAAGATATGCAAAAGGGCATGTTTGCAGTTTGGAAAGATATTTTCCAGGTATTTATAATTAACTCAGCAATAATAACTAATTGATAATTTTTGTATTTAACATACTAAAAATTAATATTTAAAGATAATTTACCGGCAAATTTTCAAACAAGCTAGGAATGTTATGACAACATAATTCTATATGGTAATAATAATCTTATTTGTGCGGTTATCATAACCTTGCTTGTTTATATGTAAAATACGCCTGATTGCACAGCAAATAGACATTTTTATAGTACCAAGAAAGAATCATAAGATAGCGTTGCCATGACAATGCTATTTTATGAGGTAGATTTGCCCGGTTAGTTACAATTATTAATAATTTGGTGAGTGTGTTTCGCTCATTATTTATTTTTCACTATCTTCTATCAATAAGTTAGTTTATTTTTGTTACACTTATTATTAGTGGAATTGATAACAGATTTTTAGATGAACATTTTTTATTTTTTTTCGCGATTTTTTTGGAGCTACACAAATTTTTCCAAGTATATCCAAAGAAATGGCACGAAATAGGGATGAAATCAAAGTCGATCTCTTGTTTATCTCATTCAATAAATTTTTTATTTCTCTCGTTATAATAATTTTTTTCTGTCTTTTTCTGTCTTTTTCTCTTATTCTTTACACTTTTTCTTTCCCTCTACACTTTTTTCAAAGATTTTCTGCATAGTGTTTGTAATGAAATCTTGCTTTGGAATTCAGTATACCTAGGACGTATTTTTGTTTGATAGCATGTAACTTCTAAACTATTTGTTTGATATGAACAATGCCTTCGGCAAATTTGTGCAGAATTGAATAATCTACAATACTGTCTAACATCATTCAGTCCTACAGCAACTCGGTTTGCTCCAAAACGCATTTGAAAACATACAACTTTGCGTACGCCTTTCTTGTGGAGAACTCGTATTAAAAAAACGGCGCAAGCAAAGTTGTTACTATTATTTACGTTTTTTGCAGATCAGACGTCCAACAAGAGGCCTAACGGACAATTCTAATAAAAATAATGTTATGAATGAAAATGAGGAACCTGATAACGAAATGAGCTTCAATGCAAGCCAGGCTGCTGATATGAGTGCAGCAACGAGGATGAAATATGTCCTGGACACTATGTATTCCGTTGGAGATTATGAAAGGTACCTTTATACATTGACACAAAGAATTTTCAATCGTCACCATTAACTAATACGAGTTTTTTTCTCTAGATCAATGCAAGGTGTCTACGAAAACTATCTATCGATGCGCCAACCAGATCCTGATATGATTGGAGTGTGCGATGCAACCAAATGGTTTTGTTTTTGTGACCAGGTTCTTCATGTTGTGAATACGACGCAGAATTATTCTACTTATGGTTATTTGCCATATGCGTTTGCAGCTTGGCATTTGCAGTTTGCTTCGTTGGCCTGGCAGAAAGTGCAGTTTCCTAATAAAGGATTCGAGGTTGGTGGAGATCTTTTTGAAATTTATATTATGTGATACAAAATTATTGTGATGATCGAATGATTACTCAATTGAACATAAATGTTGATTTGTGTGAGTGTAAGGTTCAATCTTAAAATTTGGGTTTGTTTCGGAACTAGTAACTATCTTGTAGAGTCTTTAAGTTTTTAAGGGTGTCCTGGTGGGTTTTTGAGTTCTCTGGCAGAGTTTTAGAGCCTCTGACAGTCTTTCAGAATCTTCTGGAGTCTTTTGGAATCTCCTGGAGTCTTTTGGAGTCTCCTGGACTTTGTTCGAGTTTTTGAGAGTCTCCTGGAGTCTCTTTGAGTCTTTTGGAGACTCTTTGAGTCTTTTGGAGACTCTTTGAGTCTTTTCGAGTCTCTTTCAATCTTTTCGAGTCTCTTTCAATCTTTTCGAGTCTCTTCCAGTCTTTGGGAATCTCCCAGGGTCTTTGGGAATCTCCCAGAGTCTTTGGGAATCTCCCAGAGTCTTTGGGAATCTCCCAGAGTCTTTGGTAGTCTCCCAGAGTCTTTGGGAGTCTCTCTGATTCTTTGGGAGTCTCCCAGAGGTTTTGGGAGTCTCCCAGAGTCTTTGGGAGTCTCTCAGAATCTTTGGGAGTCTCTCAGAATCTTTGGGAGTCTCCTGGAGTCTTTGGGAGTCTCCTGGAGTCTTTGGGAGTCTCCTGGAGTCTTTGGGAGTCTTTTGGAGTCTTTGGGAGTCTCCCAGAGTATTTGGGAGTCTCCCAGAGTATTTGGGAGTCTCCCAGAGTCTTTGGTAGTCTTCCAGAGTCTTTGGTAGTCTCCCAGAGTCTTTGATAGTCTCCCAGAGTCTTTGGGAGTCTCCCGGAGTCTTTGGGAGTCTCCCGGAGTCTTTGGGAGTCTCTTGGAGTCTTTGGGAGTCTTCGGGACTCTCCGAGAGTCTTCGGGACTCTCCGAGAGTCTTCGGGTCTCCGAGAGTCTTCGGGACTCTCCGAGAGTCTCCTGAAGTTATCTCGAGTTTTTGGGAGTCTCCTGTAGTCTTTTGGAGCCTCTTATAGTCTTTTGGAGTCCCTGACAGTCTTCTAGAGTCTTCTGGAGTTTTATGGATTTTTACACTCTTCTAGAGTTTCCTTAAGTTAATTTTTACAGTCTTCTGGAGTTTTGTTGAGTCTTCTGGAGTCTTATGGTGTCTTGTGAAGTCTTTTAGAACTTCCTGGAGTCTTTTGGAGTCTCTTCTAGTTTTTTTTAGATCTTTTTACAGTCTTCTTGAGTTTTCTGGAGTTTTGTTGTACCTCCTGGAGTCGTATGGAGTCTTATAAAGTCTATTAGAGCCTGCTGGAGTGTTTCGGAGCCTGCTACATTCCTTTGGAGTCTCCTAGAGTCTTCTGATGTCTCTGACACTCGTTTGGAATCTCTGGTAGTCTTTTAGATACTCTGACATTCTTCTGGAGGTTCTTACTATATTCTGGAGGCACTGACAGTCTTTTGAAGGTACTGGTAGTCTTTTGGAGCTTCTGACGGTCTTAAGAAATCTCAGGCTTTCTTCCAGAGTTTCTGACTGTCTTCTGGATTCCCTGACTGTCTTGTACAGACGTTGAGTGTCTTATCTTGTACTTGACCTTGAGTCTCTGAATATCTTGAATTGCCTCCGACTGGTTTCTAGGGTCTTTTCTTGACTTTTAGAGTCTTAATCATGTAGCCTGTCCACATGAGCATGTGTCTTGAAGATCATGTAGATGTTCCATTGTTTTTGTTCTAAAAAATTAAACCAACATATAAAAATGCAAAAATTTCTGCATTGTGCATTGCATCCATAAACACAAAACCTCTGGGGATTTCTTTTTTGTATCTGTTCCATTGCCCGTTTCGCCTCTGCTAATTTTCCAACGAGAAAACTCGCTACCGTCATCCTAATCGCATTCCATCGCGCAATTGCCGACTTTTTTTTAAATTTTATTTCACTCCCTTGCTCCGCTTTCCTCGCTCTCTCGTCGTAGTACAGAGAGATGGAATGAAATATAATTATTAAATGAAATTGAAATTTCTTTACTTTACTTTTGCATTTACTATACGTACTTTGCTGCCGTTGCCGCCGAGTAAAATTCTTTTGAACCGTCGGCATAAGGCATAATGTATAATATGTGTTTTGGCGGCGGACTGCGGGAGGACTGGAGGACTGGAGGACAGGAGGACTGGCGGACGAGAGCGTTGCTCAGAGCGCGGGCTAATCTCGTTTCGCGTTCGTAAGTTGCAAAATGTAATTTTCTTAAAACGTTTTTGGCGGGGAATTCAAAATATGTAGAGGAGGACAGAGGACCGAGAGGATACATGCACCAGTAGTATAGATTTTGGACCAACTTCTCAAATAACAATGTTATTATAAGTGCAACTTTTTGTTGTAAAAGGAATATTCTGAAGTTTGTGCCATTTGGAGGTTAGACTTCCGAAGTTTTTGACATCAATGAGAAGTCTTTGGTATCAGTGTCTATTTTTCATCTCATTGTCTACATCTTAGTCTAAGTGCCAATTCTGCGATAAAATAAACAGTCTTTTGTTTCCGACAATTTCCTGAGTTTTTAACAGTTTTCCAGAGTCTCTGGAGGCTTTTACACTTTTCTGGAGGCTTTTACTCTTTTCTGGAGGCTTTTACACTTTTCTGGAGGCTTTTACAATCTTCTGGAGTCTCTTACAATCTTTTGGAGTCTCTTACAATCTTCTGGAGTCTCTTACAATCTTCTGGAGTCTCTTACAATCTTCTGGAGTCTCTTACAATCTTCTGGAGGCTCTCACAATCTTCTGGAGTCTCTCACAAATTTCTCGAGTCTCTTACAATCTTCTGGAGGTGCTTACACTCCTCAGGAGGCTCTGACTGATTTGTGGAGGTTCTGACTGATTTCTGGAGCCTCCAGAATAACAAATCGTTGTTATGGCAAATTTTCTCGAAATATCGTGAAGAGACTCAGTAAATTTTAAAGAGACTCTAAAGATTCCAAAGAAACCCGGAAGATTCCGAGTCTTTTTAGGATTCTCTCAGAGTTTTTAAAATTTTCTGAGGCTCTTTAGAATTGTCTCAGGCTCTTTAGAATTGTCTCAGTATCTTTAGAATTGTCTCAGGATCTTTAGAATTGTCTCAGGGTCTTTAGAATTGTCTCAGGGTCTTTAGAATTGTCTCAGGCTCTTTAGAATTTTTTCATAGTCCTTATAATTTTCTCAGTCTTTAGGTATTTTCCAGAGTCTTTAGAATTTTTTCCAGAATCTTTAGGAATTTTTCCAGAGTCTTTGGAAATTTTTCCAGAGTCTTTGGATTTTTCCAGAGCCTTTGAATTTTTCCAGAGCCTTTGGATTTTGTCCAGAGCTTTTGAACTTTTTTTCCAGAGTCTTTAGATTTATTTCCAGAGTCTTTAGAATTTTCCGGGTCTCTTTCTAAAGAAACTCTGATGATTCTAAAGAGATTCAGAAGATTACAGAAAGACTCCGAAGTTTGCAGAAAGGCTCAAAAGATTCCAGAAAGACTCTGAAGATTCTAAAGAGACTCGGATAACTTCTCAAATAGAATTATTTTGATCTATTGGCCTAGTTTTTGGCTGTCCACAATTTTTGGTTTTTGATCAAAATGTGCTTTGGGCTTTAATGTGTAATTTTTAGTATGATTAAGTAGTACAGTTTGGTCTAAATGCCTAGTATTATAGCCTAAAGGATCAATTGTTATAAAAGAATAAGTATGTTCTGAATCTGGACTCGTATCTTCATTAATTCGATTCGTTCGATACTGCACCATATCAACTTCTAAAACCTAACCTTCAAATGGTACAAACGTTAGAATATAACTTTAGTTTGTCTTGCGTTATCATAAGTGACAACACTGGCACTTATGATAACACTGTTCAAAGCTTAAACAAAGGAAACGATTCTACCGAATAACAGAAAAATGTTATGACGAGGTCTTGCTATGCTCCAACTTCCATACATTATGCTACTGAATCATAGTGAACACTGTCAAAATGTCATGTATTTGCTGTGCATTCAGGCGTTTTACACATAAACTGCAACGTCACTCGTATGTTATGGATCCGAGTCAGAAAGACCCTGTTATCTAAGATCGTCTTTTTGGCATTTGTGCGATTCCTAGGTTAGGTTTTCGATCTGACAACCTGAGAAATACGACTGACTGCACACCAACCGCATGGTTTTTGTCTATCTTCAGTATGGAAAGTTCTTCATAATCGGTCCCAAAGTCTATCTATCCATTTGCCTCCGGTTTTCCCCTAATTCGTTACCTTCGCCTAGTTCGGTTCGTAACGAGAAGAGAGAGCGCGCGCGGTCTTTTCAAATATTAATTATTCGTCGAAAGAGACGACTGGGCAAAGTAGATGAGAGAAATAAAGAAATTTAAATTAATTTCGCCATCAAAGGTGGATGCTGATGCTCTGATGCTGATGCTGATGCAGATTATGAAATTTGGGAAATTCCCCAGAAGTCTGCAGAAATGAATAAATGATATTAAAAAGCGCTCACTTTATGAATTCATTTAGATCGAGACGGGACGGTAGATACATACATACATACATACATACATACATACATATATACATACATACATATATGTATATAGAAAATTTGAATGGTGTATTCTATACACACACATATAGATAGCTAGTTGTGTATGGCATTGTGCTTTAAGGCAAATTGCTGGAACTTCCCGTACCGTAACGAAATGTTCGAGGAATACATTCACTAATATTTATAAGAATTATTTTTGTCCCACTACTATGACTTACTCTACGGGAAGTTAAAAACAACATTTTTGACGTTTCGGACATAGTTAGGTTCAAATCCATCCATCATCAGGAACAAAACAAAATAATTGACTTTGTTTCACTTGAAAAGTAACAACGTGGTCAGAATTCATTTTTAGTGTCGAAAAATGTTTATTTATATATTTATTTATATGCAAAGTATCCCAGAATTCAACGCCTGGACGGTATAAAAGTATTGGCCGTAACTTTCATATAAAAAGTTTAAAAA